ACTGAGAGGAAGCAACGTCTATAGTATCTCCTCTTATAAGGGTTCCAATCATATCATGAGGGCCCTGTCCTCATAAATAGATCTTAACCTGATTATCACCCAAAGGCCTCATCTCTAAATACCGTTACATTGGAGGTTATAGCGTCAGTATAGAAATTTGGGGCAGTGGGCAGGGAGACACAGTTCAACCCATAGCGTAACCCAAATTATGTATACCCAAAATATTCTTTAGAATTAGAGGACTCATTTAACACTTAGAAATAGTAGAATGATACAATTACAGTGGTGTTTTAAGATCTGTCTAGTGATGGTATGTTATAAAATTTGAAAAACAGAGAAAAGAGACAACAATTTAGGGTCTAGTACAAGTGTACAAAAATGAAGTAACCAGTGGACCTAAACCTAGAAGTTGGGGCCTGGGCTGGGACCATTAGTAGGAATGCATGTGAAAGGTAAAATTAGTGCTCTAAAAGTTACTTAGAATGGCTTAGAAGGTACTTTGACATTTTCTTGGAGGTAGAGAAGGTTTGAACAGGTTTAAAAAATAGAGAGTGAAAAAATGAATCTAATGAGACTTTTAATTCCCAGAGACTAGGCAGTTAAGAGCAATATCATCAGAAATAGGTGTGCACTAAGTCACTTTTAGCAGCAAGAGGACAAAACCAGAATTCAGGAATTAGGCATTTTAGTGCTCACTCTGTCTACAAACCCTTCATATAACTTTAGTAAGTCATAAATGTTTTGGGGCTTTAAAAATTACTCTTCAGATTGGCCAGGCACGCTGGCTCACACCTGTAATTCCAGCACTTTGGGAGGCCGAGGTGGGTGGATCATGAGGTCAGGAGTTTGAGACCAGCCTGGCTAACATGGTGAAACCTCACCTCTCCTAAAAATACAGAAATTAGCTGGGCCTGATGGCACACCTGTAATATCAGCTACTCAGGATGCTGAGGCAGGATAATCGCTTGAACGCAGGAGGCTGAGGTCACAGTGAGCCAAGATCATGCCACTGCACTTCAGCCTGGGTGACAGAGCAAGACTCTCATCTTGAAAAGAAAACAAAACAAAAATAATAATAATAATAAATTAATATTTAGATAAATCTAATGGCCATATCAGAGTATCAGGAATTATCATCTCATTTTTTAGAGTATTGGAAAATATTAATAATTTTGATTTAAAGTATTTTTTTTTTTTACTTTTTTAATTTTTTTGAGACACAGTCTCACACTGTTGCCTGGGCTGGAGTGCAGTGGTGTGATCTCAGCTCATGGCAACCTCCGCCTCCTGGGTTCAAGTGATTCTCTTCCCTCAGCCTCCTGAGTAACTAGGATTACAGGCACTTGCCACCACAGCCGGCTAATTTTTTATATTTTTAGCAGAGGCAGGGTTTCACTATGTTGGCCGGGCTGGTCTTGAACTCCTGACCTTGCGATCCACCTGCCTTGGCCTCCCAAAGTGTTGGGCTTACAGGCATGAGCCACCGCGCCCAGCCAGAATATTTAGAGAGGATGTTAAAAAAATCTACTTAGAATTACCTGGAAGGTGGTTACGGGAAACGTGGAAGTGATCCTGAGAAGAAGATTAGATTTGGTCAGGAGTTACTCCACAGGACATTTGGTAATTCCTGGAGCCGTTTTTGGCTGCCACACTGGGGGATTGCTGCTGGTATCTAGTGGGTAGGGATGACAGTTGCTGCTAAACATCCTACAGTGCTCTTGACAGTCCCCAGCAAAGAATTATCTGGTCCCAAATGTCAGTAATGCTTAGGAAACACTGGGCTAGGTGGCGTCATTTTGGAGGTAGGTGATTGAAGTTGCGTATACACAGAATAAACCAATTTTAGTTGACTCCAAACAGCAGTATATTCATATCCGCGTTATATTTTTTCTGGCATTATGTATCTACTAATTAAGTTGTAAATCACTATTCATGACACACCAGCCTGTATGCTTCATGCATTTACCACTGTCACAATATCTGGCCAGAAATGGGCAAACAAAATAATAGTTGTAGAATAAATGAGGAAGGGGCCAGACGTGGTGTATTCCTTTTTAAATTTACTTCCAAGGTGATACACATATTTATAGGAATAAATACTGTGTATATGTTAAAAAATTAGACACTGATATCCTAATTAAAATTAAAACTGGCTAGTCAAGGTGGCTTATGCCTTTAATCCCAGCACTTTGGAAGGCTGAGGTGTGTGGATCACCTGAGGTTGGGTGTTCGAGACCAGCCTGACCAACACAGAGAAAAATACTAAAAATACAAAATTACAATGTAAATACTAATGATATAAATATAATATAATACTAAAAATACAAAATCAGCCGGGCATGGTGACACATGCCTGTAACCCCAGGTACTCAGGAGGCTGAGGCAGGAGAATCACTTGAACCCAGGAGGCAGAGGTTGCGGTGAGCTGTGATTGTGCCATTGCGCTCCAGCCTGGGCAGCAAGAGTGAAACTCCCATCTCAAAAAAAAATTAAAACAATGTGCATAGCATATATTAGATAGCAGTTTAATTTTTACAGTTTTGATTGTGCCGATTTGAAGGTCCACATTAGGATACAGTGAATCTTGATATGTTTTTGGAAATTGGTGCATTATGAACCTTGGTTTATAGTACCTACATTTTGCTAGCATTAGTCCAGTTTTTCAAACAACTAGTAGTGACTTAGTGATGAAGCTTAACTGATTTGTGGGTCATTGGTTAATTTAAGAAAAATGAGGCCGGGCACGGTGGCTGACGCTTGTCATCTCAGCACTTTGGGAGGCTGAGGTGGGTGGATCATAAAGTCAGAAGTTTGAGACCAGCCTGGCCAACATAGTGAAACCCCGTCTCTACTAAAAATACAAAAATTAGCTGGGCGTGGTGGCGGTCACCTGTAATCCCAGCTACTTGGGAGGCCGAGGCAGGAGAATTGCTTGAACCTGGGAGGCAAAGGTTGCAGTGAGCCAAGATTGTATCACTGCACTCCAGCCTGAGCTGCAGAGCTAGACTGTTTCAAAAAAAAAAAGAAATAGAAAATATTAGAATGCAGCATGTGTAGTAAAGGTAGTTAAGTGTATGTGCTTATGTAATTGAACTCCATATAATTTTTTTTTTTAACTATTGCTCGTGGTCAAATATTTGTAATAAGCCAGCAGCTTTAAGTCCTTTACTGACCTGCAGAATTTCTGATGGGTAAAGTTCTCAGACTACATTCATAGAAAATGTGGAATTAATGGAGCATAATCTTCTTTAAAAATAAAGGATCTTATGAAGGAGAGTTACTATTTATTGATTCATTTAACAAATTTTGTATTTGTTGAGTACCTGTCCTGTCCCAGGTACTTCTTTGTGCTAGGTATAGAACAGTCAACAAAAGATACAATACCTGCCCTTTTGAGTTTTTATTCCACTGGATGGACAGTAAAAAATCAAAATAAGTAAGATTATATAATATGTTAAACAGTGATAGGGCTTGGGGATGAAAGAAAAGGGAAAAGAGATGAGGAATGTGGGTTAGAGGTTGGTTGGAATATTTGAGAACCTCACTGAGAGGGATACTTGGAATAGAGCCCTGAGGGCAGTGAGGAGCTAGCCATGCAGATACCCAAATGAAGATCATTCATATTGGAGGGAATAAGGGCTCTGAGCAAGGTAAAGAGCTCTTAGTATGTTTAAGAAATAGCAGGGAGGGCCAGGTGCGGTGGCTCACACTTGTAATCCCAGTACTTTGGGAGGCTGAGGCAGGTGGATCATTTGAAATCAGGAATTGGAGACTAACCCATCTGTACTTGAAATACAAAAATTAGCCTGGCATGGTAGTATGCGCCTGTAGTTCCAGCTACTCAGGTGGCTGAGGCATGAGAATTGCTTGAACCTGGCAAGTGGAGTTGTAGTGAGCTGAGATAGCACCTGGGTGACAGAGCACAGGACTCTGTCTCAAGAAAATAAAATTAAATTAAAAAAAATAAAAATAAAAATTTAAAGAAAAATATAGCAAGGAGGTTAGTGTGGCCAGAGTGAAGTGGATAGGGGAGTGTAGTATGAGATAACTGCAGGAGCGGTATGTGGGGTTGGTGGTGTGGTCTTCTAGGCATTGGAAAGACTTGGTTTTTTACTCTTAGTTAGTCAGAAAGCCATTAGAGGGTTTTGAGCTGAGCAGTGATACAGTCTGACTTGGTTTATCAGAGTCAATCTGCTTGCCATATCGAGAAGAGAGTGAGGTGGATTGAGGGAGGAAGGACTGTTGTATTTAAGTTCAGTGGGTAAGTCAGGACTGGAGGGGAAAAATTTAGGCAGCATTAGTGAATGGATTATAATGAAGACCATGAGTTTGGATGAGATTATCTGCCTGGCACTTGACATTGTGCTGTACTGTTTGTTGGCTATGTGTAGGTACTCTAACTCTATAAATTTAATATGTCTTTTCTATATTAATGTTCATGAGATTACTATATATGAATCAATAGAGATGTGTACATTTAATATAATTTTCTTCCAATTCCACTACAAGCTGCCATTGAATAGGTGGTGCTTTTAAAAAACAACTGTTACTGTAAGTCTAAGGAATAAGATTTTTTGCCTTTAGGATAGCAAAATGCAGTTAAAAGTAAAAACTTGATAAAGAGGGTGCAGCTGTGTGTGGCAGACTAAGGATTCCAGCTTATTTTCCAACTCCAAAGCCCATCATTCTAAACACTGCACAGTAGTGCCCTTGTAAAATTATGTGCCCTTTTCCATATAATTTTGCCTACTGATTAGTTGCTGGAAGGTTTTTCTTTCTTTTTAATTGCGAGAGAGCATAATCAGTATAGCAAAGTCATGATTCTGAATTCATAGGAACCTGATCTTTTATCATAGGTTTTAAGCTGTTATTTATCCTCTTTCAGTCTCAGTGGCCTTGTCTGTAAAATAGTGATGTTTATAAAAAACTTTAGCGTTTTGGAAGATAATTAAGAGAATGCATTTTTTGTATTTACTGATGTATAGTGTGTTTGTACTTAGGTGGCAGTTATATCAAGGAAGCATTGGGACTTGTGGCTGCACTGTTCCAGAATTTAAAAATTAGAAAATGGAGCAATCATGTGATGAAGAAAAAGAGCCTGAACCACAAAAGAACATAAAAGAAACCAAACAAGTAGATGACAAAGACGCCGAGCTCATCTTTGTTGGTGTGGAACATGTAAATGAAGATGCTGAGCTAATCTTTGTTGGGGTGACTTCAAATTCAAAACCAGTCGTTTCAAACATTTTGAACAGAGTCACCCCGGGTTCATGGTCAAGGAGAAGAAAGTATGGTCACCTTAGAAAAGATACTGCTCACAAATTGCAGCCTACAAGTCATGAGACCCTTACATCAGAAGCAGTGACTATCTTGCCGGCTTCCCAACTTGAATCAAGATCGGCAGATAGTCCTATTATTATTGAGCCTTTGTCTAAACCTGATTATAAAAATAGTTCACCACAAGTTGTGCCTAATAGCTCTTCAGAACTACCTTCTCCTTTGATTACATTCACAGGTTCATTGCATCATCCAGTAAGTGCAGCACTTTCAGTAGGAGGTATAAATGAAAATCCTTGTGTATCAAAGCGACTTTCCACTTCTGAAGTAAACAGCATAAATCACAAAAGGTCTAAACTCAGGGATGGAATTATGGAAGGATATTCTTCAGCTTCATCCCCTTCAGATACCTTTCATACAGTGAATACAGTAAGTACTCAGCAAAGTACACCCTCAAACAATGTGCATACCTCATTAAGCCATGTTCCGAATGGAGCACCTTTTCCAGAAGCTTTTCCAAAGGACAATATCCATTTCAAGCCTATAAATATAAATCTTGATAGGGAAAATGAATTGGCAAAAACAGACATTTTGAGTCTAGCAAGTCAAAACAAGACCCTTGATCCCAAGAAAGAAAATCCGGTCATGTTACTTAGTGACTTTTACTATGGACAGCATAAAGGAGATGGGCAACCAGAACAGAAGACTCACACCACCTTTAAATGCCTCAGTTGCTTGAAAGTTCTGAAAAATGTTAAGTTTATGAATCACGTGAAGCATCATTTGGAATTTGAGAAGCAGAGGAATGACAGCTGGGAAAACCACACCACCTGCCAGCACTGCCAACGGCAGTTTCCCACTCCCTTTCAGCTCCAGTGTCATATCGAAATTGTCCACACTGCCCAGGAGCCCTCTACTGTCTGTAAGATCTGTGAATTGTCATTTGAAACAGATCAAGTCCTTTTACAACACATGAAGGACCATCATAAGCCTGGCGAAATGCCCTACGTGTGCCACGTTTGCCATTACAGATCGTCGTTCTTTGCTGATGTGGAAACACATTTTAGAACATGCCATGAAAACACAAAGAATTTGCTTTGTCCCTTTTGTCTCAAAATTTTCAAAACTGCAACACCATACATGTGTCATTATAGGGGCCATTGGGGAAAGAATGTACATCAGTGTTCTAAGTGCCGACTACAGTTTTTAACTTTCAAGGAGAAAATGGAGCACAAGACCCAGTGTCATCAAACGTTTAAGAAGCCTAAACAACTAGAAGGATTACCTCCTGAAACAAAAGTTATTATTCAAGTGTCGCTGGAACCTCTTCAACCAGGATCAGTGGAAGTAGCACCCATAACTGTGAGCACATCTGACTCCGAACCATCACTCCCCACTTCTAAAAGCAAAATTTCAAAAAAGTTTCATTAATTCTGGTTTCAGTAAATTTAAAGCAGGTTTTCAAACTGAATTTTAAAATGTCATAAAAAGAAATTCAAACCATACATTATTCAGTGGCACCAAAAATAGTGAAATTAGTGGATTACATGTGACTTTTAAAACAAAATTTAGGATATATACTATTTGATCCAAATTTTGAGGTATTTTAAAGCATCTGGTTTTCATGTTAACTGTATCTGGCTTACCACATAAAAAGTGTGTGTGTATGTGTGAGAGAGAAAAAGGTATTTATTTTTTAAATTTTAATCTTTTTTTTTTTCTTTTTAATTTTTTTTTTTAGAGACAGGGTCTCATTGTCACCCAGGCTGGAGTGCAGTAGCATGATCCTAGCTCACTGTAGCCTTGAACTCCTCCTGGGCTCAAGCATTCCTCCGCCTCAGCCTTTGGAGAGTAGCTAGGACTACAGGCGCAGCCACCACACCCAGCTAAGTTTTTATTTTAATTTTTTGTTGTGATGGAACTTTGTTATGTTACCCATGCTGGTCTTGAACTCCTGACCTCAGGCGAGGCTCCCACCTCAGCCTCCCCAAGTGCTGAAATGTGTGAGCCACTGCCCCTGGCACCTATTTATTATTTTGGTATTTCATGTTACTCCTAAGCTTGAAAGCTCTTCTTTCTATACACAGAATTCATAGAATTTTTGAAATACTTAGTTTTCTTTTCAGCTTTTTCCATGCATTAAAGATTTCATGGTTAACTCTAGTTAGACTGGAATGGCTTTGTTATGCCCTGGCCACTTGCTGCTGAATTCCCAGAAGTGCCTCTGATGTGCTGGCATAAAATAACCTGAAAAGATTCTTAAAAGCCAGGGTGTGGAATTGAAAGAGAAGCTGCTGCATGAGCAGACACCAAGAAAGTGGAGGTTAGTTGAGGGAGAGCAGTGGCTCTTTGTCCCAGTTGAAGGATAGGCATACATTCATTCTGGTCTTGGGGCCAGGTTAAAAGGAACACTACTTCAGAGTGTATTTACCTAACCCAAAAATATTCAAGGAAGCCAAACCATTCAAAGTAAAATGCCTTTGTTTGGTGAGGGGCTCCTGCAGACATTAAACAGTCGTCATGTATCATTGGTTTGAGATGAATGAAGTAGCAATACAATTAATAGAATGGTTGCTGGTGCTAGCTGACTTCCTGTTCTGTGATCTAAAGGTGAATTTGATTCATTCCCGCTTCTCTCCCTTTTGGCTAGCTGTTAGTGGAGAATGAACTGGCCGTATTCCTCTCAGCCACAGCAGTAAAGCAAGTTAAGTTTCCCAAGGGGAAGATACTCTGATATCTATAATTTGAAAGATACCTATAATTTGAACTATACTCGACCCAAAGTTTTAACTGAAAAGGGCCAAACAAGTGGTATCTGTCCAGTTACTGGACTTGGCTAAATTTGCTTTTCCTACTGTTAAGCTGGAATGGGACTGTCCAAGAACAGTAGATACAGTAGACAAAAATAACCCAGGGTGACTGGCTAATAAATTTAAACCCGTAATGGCTTTATATGTTTTTGTGCATATATATTTTACCCTAATGGGAAGCTTGTGACTTTATGTCTTGCCTTGGACATGAATGTATTACAGCTTACAGTTAGTCTTCTGTTGTATGTATAGTTTCCCAGTTTGTCAACACTAATGCTGTTTGTGTCTTACTTGACACATTAGTGTGCAAGAAATGTCTCTCTAATTGAATAAGTGTTAAGACATAGAGTTAATGTTCTTTATCTAATCTATCCTATCTAATCTGTACTATGTGGGAACATTTTTCCCTTGCTCCCACCAGAGGCTGTTTTATAGAATTCTTGAGTACCTTTTGAGTATTAGTTCCTGAACATCAGCAGCCTTGGCTGCCTCTGTGGATTCCTAAGTTGTCTCCCTGGTTGTGTTCTGGTGCCATCCTTTGTTCCTCCACCCCTGACCGAGGTGACTAGCAGCCGGTCTTCACCAGTCAAGGAATCTTGGCATCTTGACTATAGACATAGGTTTGGAGAAATCTCCTTTTTTCCTTGATTTCTCCTTAAAGGCACCTTATCTCTTCCCCACTCCTTTCTTCCCTCCTCAATCTAGTTAAATTTCCTAAGGTTTCACAAAAAGTTGGGAAGAGATAAAAGAGGTTAGCATTCCTCTTAGAACAAGAGTAGAAGGCAGTATAGATAATAAAGTTGTGAGTATATTATCTATGTTGTTTTTAAAAACTTTTAAACTTTTATTTATTTTTTCTTTTTTTATTTTTTTCTTTAAACTTTTATTTATTTTTTATTTTTTTATTATCTACATTTTAGAAAATTTTCTGACTTCAGATCCATAGATTCTGTTGTATTTATTTGCCTGACGCTCACTTGATTGATTTGCACCTTGAACACTTTACTGGGCCTTTTCAGTTACTTTGCTTGGGTTAAGACATTGTACTAAAATTTCAGCCCAAATCCTTTCTTTAGTTGAAGAAAGGGTATGTGTGTGCAGTTGGGTGTGTGTGCCAGTTGTTCTGGTCTCAGGTAGATATTCCTACTTTGTATAAATAGATCTATAGACGTTTTATACTTAGCCCCTGTACTCTGTTTCTTGGCAAAAATATGAAATGTTTTAGTTGTATGTTTTAGTGATTGTTTGGTATTAGAAACACTTGTTGTTTGCTGTTCATTAAAGCATGCTCTTAAAGAGTACATATGGTCATTAATTGCCAACTATAGATTCCAGTGATCTGGCCCCTGCCTACCTCCTTCCTCTCTTTTTCATTCTCTGTCATGCTTCTCTACTGTTTTCTCCAATGATGCACTATTTTGACACACTGGCCTTGCTGTTCCTTAAGCAAATCACATTCTTCCCAATCCAAAGACTTTGCACATGCTATTTTGTTTCATAGAATGTCCTTCCCCTTGGCCTGCATGGCTTGCTACCTCACTTAATTGTTTGACACTTCCTTTGGTTCATTGAGCTTCAAGGCTCTTAGAATGACGCTGACAATGAAATCTCCCTTTTTTTTTTTATTTTTTTTAAAAAAAACAACCACCTTTTAACTTTCTCCTCTTAAAGGCACTTTACCCTCTCCTTACTCTTTTCTTCTCTCTTCAATCTATTTAAATTTCCTAGGTTTTCATGAAAAAGCTGGAAAGCAATCATCATCAAGGGCTTTGCTTCTGTCTTAGAGTAGAGCTAAGCTTGAGTCAATTTCTGTGCCTGCAACCAAATGAAAATTAATATCGTGCGTTCTTTCAGGAGCTTTTTCTGTTTTTCTATTGATACCTCTATATATTTTTGAGGCAATGTCACTTTGTTTACAAATATATTGAATATGTCAAGATTACTATTTTGTTATTACCCTTTGTGAATTTCCTGGTCTATTTTGCTTGTTTGTTCTTTCAGATGAAATTTATTATTTTATTAATGTTGCCAAAAATTATAAGCAAAATATTAATTATAGTAATAAAATGTTTTGTGAAAAAAATGTTGCCGTATTGTCTTTCCACTATAAGTAAAATGGGATATTTTTAGTTGGTTTTTGTTTTTTGAAACAGAGTCTCGCTCTGTGGCCCAGGCTGGAGTATAGTGGTGCAGTCCTAGCTCACTGCAACGTCCGTCTCCTGAGTTCAGGTGATTCTCATGCCTTAGCCTCCCGAGCAGCTGGTACTACAGGTGTGTGCCACCATGCCCAGCTGAGTTTTGTACTTTCTGTAGAGATGAGGTTTCATCATGTTGGCCAGGCTAGTCTCAAACTCCTGGCCTCCCAAAGTGTTGAGATTACAGGCATAAGCCACCGTATCCGGTCAGCATTTGAAAGAATAAAAATCATTGAGATTAAGTAAACTCAATGGTATTTAGAATTTCTCATTCTTTCCATAGATATTACCATGAATAACCACAATTACAAAGCACGTATCACCTTATATATTGCTTTCTTATTTTGCATTATAGCCAAATAAACTTTGTACTGCAATAGCTCCTAGAATCATTACTTTTGATAACTGAAGACTGTCCGTAGTAGGTATATATCTAATAATTTATTTGACTTTCAGTTTGGTTTCCAAGTTTTTTTTTTGTTTTTTTTTTTTTTAAGGCAGGGTCTCTTGTCACCTAGGCTGGAATATAGTGGTACAATCATAACTCACAGCTGTCTTCACCTCCTGGACTCAAGCCCTCCCACCCCATCCTCTCAAGTAACTGGCCAGACTACATGTGTGCACCACCATGCCCTGCTATTTTTTTTTTTTTGAGATGCAGTTTCACTTGTTGCCCAGGCTGGAGTACAATGGCACGATCTCAGCTCACGGCAAGTTCCACCTCCTGGGTTCAAGTGATTTTCCTGCCTCAGCCTCCCAAGTAGCTGGGATTACAGGTGCCCGCCAACATGCCCAGATAATTTTTGTATTTTTAGTAGAGATGGGGTTTCACCATCTTGGCCAGGCTGGTCTCAAACTCTTGACCACAAGTGAACTGTCCACCTTGGCTTCCTAAAGTGCTGGGATTACAGGTGTGGGCCACCATGCCCAGCCACCCCGCTAATTTTTTAAATTTTAGTAGAGACAGGAATTGAACCTGGGAGGCAGAGGAATTTTTCCAAGTTTTTGTTAACTAGGAATTACTCTCAAATGAATATTTGCTTATTAATTTTTGAACTATATTCAACTGAAGGGAAACTGATTTTTTTTTTTTTTTTTTTGGAGACAGAGTCACTCTGTTGCCTAGACTGGAGTGCAGTGGTACAATCTTACCTTACTGCAGCTTCTGCCTAGCAGGTTCAAGTGATTCTCCTGACTCAGCCTCCCAAGTAGCTGAGATTACAGGCATGGGCCACCATGCTCAGCTTAGGTTTATATTTTTAGTAGAGATGGGGCTTCACCATATTAGCCAGGCTGGTCTCAAACTCCTGACCTCAAATGATCTGAAGCGGGGACAGATTTCTGTACTTAAAACTCATTTTATAATTTTGACATAGAAACCAAAAATATCCTTTTTCTTTAAGTAACTCATGAAGTAATTTGAAAATGATT